TGTCACTTATACAAACAATGTCATTTTGTTAACTTATTAAAGATAACAAAAATAGATAAGTTTTTCTTCAATCGAATTTTCTTATAATTTAGCTGCTTTTCAAAAAGGAAAAAAATATGTATTATATTGGATATAGTGGAGCAAGAATCCTCAAACAAAAGATGTGTGTCTTTGGCTAGTTTGGCCTTTTATGTAAGGGTTTGTAGTAATCTTGTTCTTCCCTGTTTAACTTTACTCTTGCTTGTAAAAAAAATGCAAGTCTTTTATTAATATTTTAAAAATTACATCTTTCATAGCTTTTAGTATGTGTAAGTTAATAATAATCAATTAAAATTATATGTAGGTGTATTAAATCTCTAGCTTGAAGATATACAATTTATAAAAAAAGCATCAAATAAAATTATATAATATTTAACAAATTTATATTAATAATTACATTAAGTTAAAACAAAAAATAGGTTTTACAAAATATATATATATATATATATATATATATATATATATATATATATATATATATATATATATATATATATATATATATATATATATATATATATATATATATATATATATATATATATATATATATATATATATATATATATATATATATATATATATATATATATATATATATATATATATATATATATATATATATATATATATATATATATATATATATATATATATATATATATATATATATATATATCTTAATATTATTTGCATTAAATAAAACATATAATAACAACAAAACTTTATCCTTCTACGTGATGTTGGCTATATGAATTTTCACCATAATATTCTATGTATAATCAAGTTTTTATCCAAATCGTTAATCTCGAAATCTTTTATAATGACTTGATATTTAATCCGTGTGTCATGATGGATTATATGGTCTCCAACTTTCACATTTAGATTAGAACACTCACTACTACAAATAATACATTTCACGACGAAGCTTTCATCTCAGCTAAAAAAAAACCGAAGTATTATCTCAAAGCACGTCATGTTTTATTTTTTTTATAAAAATAAAAAATAATATATTTTCTCAATTTTTGATAAAACCGAGGGAAAAATCAAATCAGAAAACGCTTTGAATCTCATCTATTGCAGTTTATGTTGTTATTTGTTTATAAGTGAATACTAAATGATCTATTCCTTCAGTTTCGTTAAATACCGATGGATAACATAATCAGATTTTACTATAAAAGCCTTCATTAAACCGATTTAATCCTAATCTTTAAGTTTACAAAGCTTCCCCAAACTAGTACTCATCATTTTTTGGGAAGGATTGTAAGACATAAAAAATCTTCAATGTTCTTCTATCCTTGATAAAATATTTTTTCTCTTGTAATCTATCTCACATAATGGTGTTGATGTTGTATTTTTGGAACAACTCTCTGTTAAAGAATGTTAGAAAAGTTCCTTATGATAGATTGTAAATATAAAAAATTATTCATGCTCTCAGGTTAAACAAAGAAGGTTATTCAACCTTTGAAAAGATATATGCAACAAAATCTAGAATTGCAACGATGATGATGAATTTGGATTTTTTTAAATATTCTGTGTAAATAATGAAATATTTGAAAAAAAGTTATTATTCACCTCAGTTTTATTCTAAAATCGAGGGTCTTTCTTATTTTATATTATTTTTCTATTTAAAATAGAAAATATGTTTTCTCTCAGTTTTTTTTAAATTGTTTTAAAAAAAACGAAGGTAACATGTTACGCAGCCACAACAACAAATATTTACCTTACATTCTTAAAGAAATATCACTCAAGATATTTTCAAGATATCAATCCATAATAAAATTTCTACATCCACCACTATATATCTTTCTTGTGAAAGCATTTGCCTTGATAAGATTTGCTCTAGATAATGAAATTTTGAAACTTAAAAAAATTTCGAAAAAATTCTCAATGATGTGTTGCAAGTATAGAAAAAATATTTCCAATGTTTGGAACTGATATTTCCTTACTTAGATCATATAAATGTTTAGAAGTTGATTGCATTCAGTCCATTGAATTTTAAAATAATGAGTATAAAATATATCTAACAAGATCTGGATTAGAGCAAAGATTTGTTGTTCTCTAAGAACCGCAGCTACTATGATAACACTGCATTTGTTGTATTAATATAATTTAATATTATACATGAACAATGTAATGTTAAAAAAAAGCTAATACACCCTTTACCTCAATTTTTGAAAGAAATCAAGTGAATAATTTTTTAGTGTTAATTGAGGATATTTATTACCGTCCTTAAACAAATTTGTCTCATCTATTTCATGACTATCAATGCTCAAGACACTTCTTTTAGTGGTCCACGTGAAATCTAACAGACATCTATTATAAAAACATTCTGAATATCAATAATTGTTAATGAACCATAACATGAAAACTTTGAAGCCTAAAAATTTTGGTAAAGTTCTTTACGATGAATTTCAAGAGCAGAAAATAAATTGTGTTTAAGGTTTGCGTTCTTCAATAATCAATTTTTTAATGGTGTTCTTCAATATAAATGCGAAAGGGATCTGGAATATATTGCACCAAATATTTTCTCTTGCCCGACATTTCAATGAAACGAGGATCCAACATCTGATCTTCACCAACAGTGATGACGATAATCAGATTCCAAATTTGTTATATATATTTACAGAAATATTTTGTGTAAACAATGTAATATTATGGGTAAACAATTAATTTATTAATATTTTGTAGTTTTAATGAGATAAAAAAAAATCAATGTTATCCCTCAATATTATTGATAAACCGAGAGATTTGATTCACTAGTTTTGAAAATATTAAAAGTGCAGTGATTGGGGTTCGAATCCCGTGTGTATAAGCATTTTCCGTGATTTAAAAAATGAGGTATAAGTTGATATTTTTCATGACGTCCCTCGTTACCTCTATTCTTTACCCGAAATTAAATATATTTCATGTCTGAGGTGAAAATTATATATTTCTAAAATAATGTTCAAGTCTCTAATCATTTAAATCCTCAGGACTATATATATAACTCTTGAATATGTTTTATAAATACATTTAAATTAAAGTAGAAAAGAGATGGGTTTAGTCTAGAACCTTGAATTATTATTATTTTAAATTGAAAATATAGTGCTAACTCATATTTGAGTTAATCTAATAACTAGTTGACATCGAATATATTTATTTTTAAGATAGTTTAATTTTGAAATTAAAATAATTAATATAAATAGTTTAAAATAACTTAAAACGTGCAAAAAAAAATGTAGTTGCTCCTAAAATGGAAGGAAAATTGGATGAAATTAATCTTTTCAATGAAATAGAAAGGAAAAAAAAGCATGCCCTACATTATTATTCTTTTTCAACACCGGATCCTTTTGTCTTTTTATACACGTATTTATTTTCCTTTCACTTTTTTTAACCAAGCAGTGAAGATAAGTTTTTAAAAATTATTTTCCTTTTATTTTCTTTTACATCAAACAATTTTTAAAAATTAACTGGTCATTAAATCAATAATAATATTAAATTACTGGTTTATTGGTTGAATTATAAGATTATTAATCGATCACATGATTAAATAAAATTAAATTTAATAATTCGATTGAATAAATCGATCTTTATAATAAAATTATATATTTATTAAATCGTTCGAATTGAATGACCCAGTCTATAAAAATATCATAAAATCTATAAAATTTTAAAATTTAAAATATTATAATTTCACAAATTTATTCTTTGAATTTAAGTTCTAAAAATAGTCATTATGCACTACAAAAATACTATAATTTATAAATCTAAATAAATTTTGAACAAAATCTAATTATTATATAATTTTGAATAACAAAATAACTTATGTAATAGTTTTAGAGAAGCAAAACTGTTTCAAATAAATTTTTTTAAAAACTATTTGTATTTTAATTTTAATTCTTAAAACTTTTATTAAAACGACATCGTTCGTTTTATTTGAAAAAAATAAGTATTTAATTTATTCATTTTCCAAAGTAGTTGATTCTTTCATTTTTATCATTTTTAGTCAGTTCTACTTAATTCACATTAATTTAATAATTTATCCAATCTTACGATCAATTAGATCAATAAATCTTCTAATTTACAATTCGACCGGTTCAGCCAACTAATTCTTCGATTTAAGTTTTTAAACATTACACCAAAGAACTAAAATCTTGTTCTACTTTCTTCTATTTTTTTTTTCATTCCTCTTCCTTTTAATTCACTTTATTTTTCTTTTATTATACAAACAAAATTTTCGAGAGAGAATAGGAGTGACAGTTGTAAGCATATTTAATAGAGTATTTGCAAAAATATTCAAACAAAGAGGATAGAAACCCTCTAAAATGGATATAAACATGAGTAAGTATTAACTAGTATCCGCTTCTCCATATTTCTATAATATATATTTATTATTTTAAATAAAATATATTATTATTAAACTATTTTATATTTAAATATAAATGTTCGTATATTTTAATGTTCTAACAATAAAAAGTTTGTATTTTTTAATATTGTTAATAATTTAAATTTATATAATATTTTATTTAAATAACAAGTATAGGAGTACAATAATATCTATAAAATAAGAGTACGAATATAAAGTTGATATCTATATAGATTTATATTTGAGTGCGTAGATTTTTTTCAAATCACAGATATGAAAAATGTAATATAATATTCCATTCAGTTCTTTCAAATTTAAGGTTTTTTTAAGCAAGAAATATATTAATCGGGTACTAGGGATATTCGATTAAGGATGATTTTTATTTTTTAAAACAAAATTTCATGGTTTTCAAAAGAAGAAATTATTTAGTCAATTACTCATCATTTAATATTTCAGATAGGACAGACATTTACCTCAATTCCAATCCAAAGGCTAGAATCCAAGACACAACACTCCATTTCGCCAACTATAAATACCTTGCCATAGTTAAAGTATTCTCACACTTCAACATTCAAAAATCACAAGAGATAGAAATATCAGTAAACATATATAGATGGCTTGCAAGGTGCACAAAAGTCTATCACTGCGCAGAAGACTTCACATTCTGCGATTCCTTACCAACTCCAAGAATAACGTACCACATTCTAACTTTTCTCTTAACAATCTCCATTTAGAATTAATTTTTTTAAATGATTTCACAATTTGGCCATTTAGTCGTGTCTCTGAATCACGAAATCAGATTAATCAATTTATTATATGGATTGTAATTGATTGGCTAAACTAAAAAAAAAAAAGTTACATACTCTAGCTTTTAGCACTAAGTTTACACTTCATGCACACATGGTTTCACAAATATAATCACAAAATGTATGTTAATTTTTCAAGCAATAAAATTTTTGCTGGTTTGATTTTCCATTGGTAAGAGTACTTTTCTACATATACAGAAGCTAAAGGTTGCACTGGAAAATGTCAAAAGAAAATATGAAAACCTCATAGCCACAAAAAGAGACTACATTAGCCTATTGAATAATAATATCGATGATAACAAGGTGTGTTATTTTTTTATTTATTCACTGTGCATGTTATTACAAAATAATTGAAATTGAAATTGCAGTTAAAAGTTTTATATATATTTGTTAATATTAAAATTCAAGGAAAAATAATTGATATTTGATGATACTGTATTTTAATGTTTTGCAAAATTTAACAGGATGTTAAAATAGTGAAAATAAGTGAAGGAACATTCATGGTGAGGGTGACATGTGAGAAAGGAGGTGGCAAGTTGGTTGCAATTTTAGAGGCATTTGAAGAGATTAGTATGAATGTTGAGGAGGCAAAAGTTTCATGCGAAAATGAGTTTTCTATGGAAGCTATTATTGTTACTGAGGATCAAACTCTTGATGTTACAGATGTTACTGAAGTGATTCTAAAAGCTATTGAAAAGTAGGGTGGTGAAAACGGTACAAAGTAGCTTGACAGCTTGAGTAATTTTTGTGACTTTTCAAGTACATTAATTAATTTGGCTAATATTTTCTTGTGTACCTCAACCAGTTTTTACCTATTTCATGTTGCTATGTTATTACTATATTGGTAGCAGTATTGCTGAATGAGAAAATAATATTAAAATATTTGTTTTGATGAGATGTCATTTGTCTATTTCATCTTAATCAAATATTCTTGAGTTCGAAAAGGATACTAATTTTGATGGAACACTTTGTCACCTTTGTTATATGTAGTATATATTTGCTGTTTTTTAACCGTGACAAATAATTCTGAACAATCACAAACAAACACATCAAATTGAATCTGAAAAAAAATAATAAATCACTATACAAAATCTGAGTCGATGGCTTAAAAAGTTAGATCAAGTCAAACTTTACAAAATATAAAATTTAAATTAAATTATGTTTCTAATGAAAATATATTTCCATACTTTTCACACAAAATATTTAAAACTTTAAAAATACTAAAAAAAAAATAGTTCTGTTTTAATATGATGGATATAATGTTAGTATTTTCTCATTAGTAGTTTATTCCAATAAGTTCCTATAAAATAAGACATGATAGAATTAGTTTTACATTTGACTCATTCTTGTTTTCCGTTCACGTTTCCTAAGTTTATGGGAGAAGTGACTTTAGTTTAGATTTTCAGTTTCTTTGTAAAGCTATTTAATAGCTTCAGTTGGTTACTTTCAGAATAACAAATATAATTGCATTTGTGCAATTTTCTATTGTGTTCATTATTAACAATTGGCATCAGAGTTTGTCAGACAGGCCTGATTGAGAGAGAAAGTAGAGGTGTTCTTTGAGTGAAATACGTGAGAAGAGGGAGAAAGAGTGGCAGAGAGCAGCACCACCAACAGTACGTTTGTGCAGCCAGTCATCCCTAAATTTGATGGCTATTATGAGCATTAGGCCAAATTGATGGAGAACTTCCTTCGAGCAAAGGAATTCTGGAGTCTTGTAGAAGATGGAATTACTGTGATTCCAAAGGGGAAAGAGCCATCAGAAGCAGAGGCGAAACTCATAGGAGAACAGGAATTGAAGGATAAGAAAGTGAAGAACTATCTCTATCAAGCTATAGATAGAGAAATCTTGGAGACCATTCTTAACGATGACACATCCAAGCAAATATGGGATTCAATGAAGCAGAAATTCAAGGGATCAACTAGAGTCAAGAGAGCACAACTTCAAGCTCTTAAGACTGAGTTCGAAACCTTAAGAATGAAGGAAGGGGAGACCGTCAATGCTTACTTCGGAAGAACACTCTCCATTTCCAAGAAGATGAAGGCATGTGGAGAAAATATGAAAGAAGCAGACATCACAGGAAAGATCCTACGTTCTTTAGTTTCCAAATTTAATTATGTTGTGTGTTCTATTGAAGAATCAAATAATGTTGATACACTAACTGTGGATGAACTCCAAAGTAGTCTCTTAATCCATGAGCAGAGAATGAGAGGCCCAGTTGAAGAAGAACAAGCCTTAAAAGTGACATATGACGCTCGAGGTGGAAGAGGCAGAGGCGTAACTAGAGGAAGAGGAAGAGGAAGAGGAAGAGGAAGACAGTTTTTTGATAAGTCTACTGTGGAATGCTATAAGTGCCACAATTTGGGGCATTATCAATACGAATGTACAAATTGGGAGAAGAGAGCTCACTATGCTGAAATCAATGATGAAGATGAAATGCTTCTAATGGCACATGTAGATCTCAAGCAGAACAAAAAGGAAGGAATATGGTTTCTTGACTCCGGATGCTCAAATCACATGTCCGAAAATAAGGAGTGGTTCATGCATCTTGATGAAGTGTTCAAGCATTCGGTAAAACTGGGGAATGACTAAAAATTCATGGTGATGGGGAAAGGAAGCATAAAGCTAGAGTTTGGAGGTCAAGTTCAAATTGTAAGTAATGTGTATTTCATACCTGAGTTGCGTAACAATTTGCTCAGTGTAGGTCAATTGCAAGACAAAGGCATTACTATACTGATAAAGAATGGAGCATGCAAGCTGTACCATCCAACTCGGGGACTTATAATGGAAAGCATAATGACGGCAAATAGAATGTTTGTAGTCATCACAAACATTCTCATTGCAAATTCAGCATGCTTTAATACATATGATGAAGAGGCAAGTGAAATTTGGCATAAACGATATGGGCACTTGAGCTATAAAAGTCTTGCCTTGCTGCATAATAAGAAGATGGTTAAGGGGCTTCCAAACATCAAATCACTAACAAAGAAGTGCACAAGCTGTATGCAAGGGAAACAACACAGAAAAGTTATACCAAAGAAGAGCAAGTGGAGAGCCACAAAGCAACTACAACTCATTCACTCCGATATTTGCGGTCCTATCTCACCTGCATCTTACAGCAAAAAAAGGTATTTGCTAACATTCATTGATGATTTTAGTCGGAAATTATGGGTGTATTTTCTGAATGAGAAGAGTGAAACATTTTTTACTTTCAAAATGTTCAAAATAATGGTGGAAAAGGAGTCTGGCTTATCCTTATGTAGTTTGAGAACAGATAGAGGAGGAGAATTCAACTCAAAAGAATTCACACATTTTTGCAAATCACAAGGGATCAAGAGACAGCTGACTACGGCATATACGCCTCAGCAAAACAGAGTTGCCGAGCGTAAAAACCGAACAATTCTCAACATGGTGAGATGTTTACTCGAAGAGAAGAAGATGCCTAAAAAGCTTTGGCCAGATGCTGTGAAATGGACCTGCCATATTTTAAATAGAAGTCTCACCGCCTCTTTGAAAAACAAAACTCCAGAAGAATGCTGGAGTGGTTTTATACCTAATGTTGAATATTTCAGAGTCTTTAGATGCATTGGCAATGTCCATATACCTGATGCTAGGAGACAAAAATTGGATGCAAGAAGCAAAAAGCAAGTGTTGATCGGTTACAGTGAAGAATCAAAAGGGTACAAGATGATTGATCCTTGCACAATGAAAGTAACAATCAGCAGGGATATAGTGTTTGAAGAAGGTGAAAAGTGGGATTGGAAAAGCACAGCAGAAGAGATAAAACATGACATTTTGGACTGGGGAGAAGCCTATGAACAGACATACAATCAAGGGGAGGAAAGTGAAGATGAAGCTTCCCTAAATGAAGATGAAGGAAATCACGAAAATGACGAAACCATCTCAAATGATGCAGCAGCCTCACAAGATCAGACAGATGACGACACCAATTCCAATGATGATGTTATTAGTGATGTCGCGGCCTTACCAACTCGAAGAAGAAGGACTCCGACTTACTTAGAAGATTATACCAGCGGAGAAGGGCTCTCGGATAATGAGGTACAAAACTTCGCTCTCTTCATTTCTGAATCTGACCCGTTGTCTTATGAACAAGCAGTAAAATCAAAGAAATGGAGGGAGGCAATGAATCTTGAGATCAAAGCGATAGAGAAGAACAATACATGGAAGCTGGTAAAAGCTCCTCCCGGAGTAAAGGTGATAGGAGTCAAATGGGTTTATCGAACCAAATTAAACGAGAACGGAGAAGTTGACAAATGCAAAGCAAGACTGGTGGCAAAAAGTTATGCTCAAGAAAAGGGGATAGACTACAATGAAGTCTTCGCTCCAGTAGCAAGATGGGGCACCATTCGAACTGTGTTGGCTGTAGAAGCAAGAAATCATTGGAAAGTTTTCCAGCTTGATGTCAAAAGCGCCTTTTTACACTGCAAACTCAGTGAAGATGTGTATGTCGCTCAACCACAAGGCTATGAAGTAAAAGGGGATGAGAACAAGGTGTGCAAGCTTGAGAAAGCCCTTTATGGCTTGAAGCAAGCTCCGAGGGCGTGGTTCAGTAGAATTGAGGGATAATTCATCAAAGAAGAATTTGAAAGGGGTTGTTGTGACCACACTCTATTTGTCAAGAAGCTTGAGGACAACAAAATTTTGATTGTAAGTCTCTATGTCGATGACCTTATTTTTACTAGTAATGATTTGTCGATGGTGCAAGGTTTCAAGACCTCAATGAAAAATGAGTTTGAAATGTCAGATCTTGGCGAAATGAGGTATTTTTTGGGTGTAGAAGTTAACCAGGGCAGCAATGGCATTTACATCAGTCAAAAGAAATATGTAAATGAAGTACTTGAGAGATTTGGAATGGGAGGCTGCAATGGAGTCAGAAATCCAATAGTGCCAGGATGCAAATTGACAAAGGAAGGAGGAGAAGCAAAAGCTGATGCAACAATGTTCAAACAAATTATTGGAAGTCTCATGTATGTGACAGTGACGAGACCTGATTTAATATACAATGTTTGTCTCCTAAGCAGATTCATGTCAAGTCCAAAGGAAACACACATGTTAGCAGCCAAAAGAGTATTGAGATACATTCAGTCCACTGTAGATTTTGGTATTTTTTATAAAAGGGATTGTACAACTGAAATGATGGCGTATACAGATAGTGATTATACCGGCGACTTGGATGACCGAAAGAGCACGTCCGGATATGTATTTATGTTGAGTGGTGGAGTTGTAGCTTGGGCATCTAAGAAGCAACCTGTGGTAACTTTGTCAACAACAGAAGCAGAATATGTCGTTGCTGCCTCTTGCGCCTGCCAAAGTATTTGGATAAAGCGGATTTTAAAACAAATCAAAGGAACTCAAAATGATTGTGTTAAAATTTTCTGTGATAACTCTTCTACTATTAAACTTGCGAAAAATCCAGTCTTCCGTGGAAGGAATAAGCACATTGACGTACGATTTCATTTTCTAAGAAATCTTACAAATGATGGATCAATCAATATGGAATACATTGGTAGCAATGAGCAAGTAGCTGACATCATGACCAAACCTTTGAAGATTGATCAGTTTGAAAAACTCAGAGAAGCAATGGGCGTTAGAAGCAGTCTTGGCATAAACTAACATGTAGCTGACATGTTTAGTTTAGGGGAGAGTTTTTGTTAGTATTTTCTCATTAGTAGTTTATTC